TTTTTAAATCCAAGCTATTGTGACACCAGATGTAATTGGTGGCACTGACTGGGGAAATGGCACAGTATGCACTGTGAGCCTGACACAGAAGCTGGCAGCAGTGGCAGACAACTGACTGCTATTCAATCTATAACAGTGAAAAAAGTTTTTTGTTTTTAAATCAAGCTATTGTGACACCAGATGTAATGGTGGCACTGACTGGGGAAAAAAAAAAGCTGGCAGCAGTGGCAGACAACTAAGTGCAACATTACATAGAGCATACCCTTATCCCTAACCTAGCTATGCTTTTCCCTATCTTATGAACAGCAGCTACACTTTCCCTCCTCTTACTAAGCATGCAGCTTGAGAATGAATCTAAAATGGATGCTGTCCAGGAGGTGGGAGGGTCTGCTAGGGAGGGTGTGCTGCTAATTGGCTGGAATGTGTCTGCTGACTGTGAGGTACAGGGTCAAAGTTTACTCAATGATGACGAATAGGGGGCGGGTCGAACCGCGCATATGTTCGCCCGCCGTGGCGAACGCGAACATGCTATGTTCGCCGGGAACCGTTCGCCGGCGAACCGTTCGGTACATCACTATTAATGTATGGATTGATGGGATATTGGAGGTAAAAGAAGGAGGTCATCTTGAGTATTAACATAACTGCTAGGCTTTCCAAAGGAACAAGGGGTAATATTAATTTATTTTCTTTCTTTGTAAACATTGTTTCAATGATTATGGACTTGTCATCATCCAGTTTCCTAATAAATATGTGATTGTTAAGTAGAGAGTGTGATGTTGCTTTCGTAAGAGGGTTTTCTTGTCTGGATTGCTCCTGTAAGGTGAGGGCAAACTTCAACAAAAGAGCTTTGGATGGGGAACACACATTTTAAATTTTTATGTGTGGCATTGAGCATTATGTTATGGATTCCCATGAAGGTTTTGGTTATGTGAAGATGCTCCTCACCAATGGATGTTTGTTTTCTGAACATCAAACTACTCTTCACCCCTGGACTACCTGTTGAGCATCTACTTGAAAATAATAATCAGTTGGCTGGAACTCATGACCATTCCCTACCTTTCTGCATATTGCACTGATCTCTGTGGATATATGTTATGATGGCAAACACAATTTAGCTACCTTGTCATGGGAAAAAAAAACTTCTATCCTGCAACATCAATGACTTGAATCACTGATGAGATAGGCTGTTATCCACATGTGTCATCTTCACTCAAATATAATATTTACACTTAACACAGAATTGAGTTAAATTGCTTTTGTTGTACTATGATAAGTAGTATATTGCAAATGTGAACAATTTATTTTAATGAAATATTGCTGCCATTTTTACCAATTGCTTAAAAAATCTTCATTCCAACAAAATTCCAACATGTAATGAAGAATGTGAACATGGTTATATGTTTGTTATTTCATATCATGTATTGGATGGTGGACCGAGTTCTTTGTGAGTTTATAAAAGCAGTTGGTTTATGTAGATAATGGTTTAATTGAAGCATGTACTGGTGATGACGTTAAAATAAACACATTAACCAACACATACATTTATTAGGTAATTTTGTGAAATATGTTATTATACATTGTTAGTAACACATGATTGCCGTTCACACATTTTACTTCATGCATGAAATATTAATGATAGTAATTAATTATGGCCTGAGAAGGCAAAAAGTGTATCTCTGTCTATTTTAGGTCTCATCTCCCATGAAACATTTAAACATGATGGTTGGGAAAGTATGATAGGAATTGTAGCTAAATTCTCATGATATGTACCTTTGACATAGAAACATAGAAACATAGAATGTGACGGCAGATAAGAACCATTCGGCCCATCTAGTCTGCCCAATTTTCTTTCCCTTTGTTTAATGGGAATGAGGTGTGAAGTTTACATTTACATCATTATGTGTTTTCTTATGTGTATTGTGCAGTGATTGTTATAATAGAATATGTTTAATTGGTTAATATTTACTTTAACCTGTTTAAGGCACTTTACTATGTATGTGCATTAAAGGAGCACTATAGTGCCAGGAAAACAAACTCATTTTCTTGGCACTATAGGGTCTTTAGGTCCCCTCACCCTCAAGGTCCCTCTCCCGCTGGGCTGAATGAGTTAAAACCCCTTCAGCCACTTACCTTTCTCCAGTGCCAGGCTCCCTCTGTGCTGGGGAACTCTCCACTCCCTGCAAGAGCCACGCGCATTCAAACAGCCCATATGAAAGCATTACTCAATGCTTTCCTATGGATGTCCAGCGTCTTCTCACTGTTATTTTCACAGTGAGAATCGCAGAAGTGTCTCTAGCGGCTGTCAGTGAGACAGTCACTAGAGGCTGGATTAACCCTCAATGAAACATAGCAGTTTCTATGAAACTGCTATGTTTTCAGCTGCAGTATTAAAACTAGAGGGACTATAGTGGTCTTTAACTTGTCCTCTTTGGGTTTTGTAGGTGGATATAGTTTAGACCTGATTTTCTTCAGGCCAAAGCACCTGTTAAATTAATTATAGAAAATACAGGTTTATTGTATGCAATGAAGCTACACACAGGCATTGTAATACGTTTTGTGAGTTACAGTTTCTATACAGTACACAACATGCTACATATAAGTTTGTTTCTTTGCTTTTCGGCATGCAAAAACACAAACTTAGCAGTGGTAAACAAGAGGACAACAGATAAGGCTGGGACAGAAATATTAGTACTATTTTTCTCATGATCATAAGGTCACTTAAAAAGAAAAACTAGATAACTAAAAATGGTCAAATACCCTGATTATGGGTATCTGAAGTAAATCTGATTGTATTTCCACAACTGAATGTGAAAAATGTCTTCATTTTGGCATAACTTCAAACATTTGTAATTTATAGGGCACCAAATGTATACTCAGTGTGCTGAAAAAACCCTTCTCCTTATACCAATTTTCTGGCTGATTTAATGCAACCAGGGGCGGACTGACCGGTCGGGCACTTCGGACACGGTCCGAGGGCCCGGCCGGGAGGGGGGCCCGCCGCCAGGGCCGCCTTCAGGGGGCCCGGCGGCAGGGCTGGATTGGGGGCGGCATTTGGGGACTTGAGGAAGGTGCCACCGGGTGGCCGGTCCGGTGGCACACTGTGAGGGGGCCGGCCGTTTCATGCTGGAGCCGCCGGACCGGGTGGCAGCCTCGCCGGTCCGGCGGCATTCCTCTCACTAACACTGAAGGAGGAGGAGGAGCATGTGTCTGTCATGCTCCCTGCGGTTCCCACAATTCCCAGCACAGGATGTGGGAACCGCAAAGGAGCATGACAGACACATGCTCCTCCTCCTCCTTCTTCTTCAGTGTTAGTGAGCGGAATGCCGCCGGACCGGCGAGGCTGCCACCCGGTCCGGCGGCTCTAAAATGAAACGGCCAGCCCCCTCTGACTAGTAAGAGGGGGGAGAGATGGGGAGGGGGGAGAAAGAGAGGGGAGAGATGGGGAGGGGGGAGAAAGAGAGGGGAGAGATGGGGAGGGGGGAGAAAGAGAGGGGACATAGAGATGGGAAAGGGGGAGAAAGGGGGGGCAATAAAGAGATGGGGAGAAAGAGAGGGAAGAATGAGACACAGGGGGAGACAGAGAGGGAAGAATGAGACACGGGGAGAAAGAGGGGGAATAGAGAGATGGGGAGGGGGAGAAAGAGACAGAGAGGGAAGAATGAGACACAGGGGGAATAGAGAGATGGGGAGGGGGGAGACAGAGAGGGAAGAATGAGACACGGGGAGAAAGAGGGGGAATAGAGAGATGGGGAGGGGGAGAAAGAGACACAGGGGGAATAGAGGGGGGAAGACAGAGAGGGAAGAATGAGACACGGGGAGAAAGAGGGGGAATAGAGAGATGGGGAGGGGGGAGAAGAGACAGAGAGGGAAGAATGAGACACGGGGAGAAAGAGGGGGAATAGAGAGTTGGGGGAGGGGGGAGAAAGAGAGGGAAGAATGAGACACAGGGGGAGAAAGAGATGGGGAGGGGGAGAAAGAGACAGAGAGGAATAGAGATGTGGGGGAGAGAGAGACAGGGAAAGGGGGGAGAAAAACAGTGGAAGAGAGGGAGAAAGAGGCAGAGGGGTAAGAGAGACTGGGAAGGAGGGGGGAGAAAGAAACATACAGAGGGACGGGGGAGACAAAAAGGGCTGTATATATCACTGGTGGATCCAGGGGGGCAACAGGGCAATTGCCCCCCCTCCCTTGTTCGCAGGCACCGTGCGGGCAGGGGAGGGAGGAAGAGAGGACCTGGGAGCTCACCCTGCAGCAACGTTACCGCTCTTGCGAGAGTCAACTCTAGCCCTGGAGCTACGGGCTAGAGTTCACTCTCAACACTGTGACCCCCAGGGATTCCTGGTGGTCGCAGTGGTGAGAGTGAACTCCAGCCCCATAAACACACTACCCCCACACACACACCATACACATTCACACACTGCCCCCATACACACCATACACATTTACACACATTGCCTCACACACACACATACACTACCCACCCATATACACACAGACCCCCATACACAGCCCCCCATACTGACATTGCCACACACATACACAGCCCACACACCCTACACATTCACACACTACACCCCCACACACACACTGAACCTTTCACACACATTGCACCACTGCTCCTATTCCCTACTACAGCCCCATATCCCAGCAGACCCCAGGTAAGTTGTCAAACTGTTCTTAAACGGTTTGACTACTTACTCTGGAGCAGTAGTGGTTATTGTGCATGGATTATTTCTTTAAATAATCTACAAGTGCCCCAGTAGCCAGCCAGCCAACCCACAGGCTGGCCAGTAGCCAGTCAGTTAGCCAGCCCACAGGCCAGTAGCCAGCCCACAGGCCTACAGCAAGCCACAGGCTTACAGCCAGTAAGCCACAGCCTGCCAGCCACAGTCAGCAAGCCCACAGCCTGCCGGCAGTAGCCAGCAAGCCCACAGCCTGCCAGCCGCAGCCAGTAAGCCCACAGACTGCCAGCCAGCAACAGTAATTAAGGTAAGAGGAACCAACTTGGCCTAGGTATCAGCGAGCTATGTTGTGTTGCTATATTGTGAATAGGAACCAGAGTGTTGGAGAGACCACCCTCCAGGCCCCATTAGACTCTAGCCTCTGCTGGAAATCCCCTCCATGGCCCATTAGCCCTCAATTGTAGTCTCTACTGGGGCCTGGAGGTGACTGTTTCCAGCAGGGGATATCTAATGGACGCTGAGATGGCCTCTGTTAGAAAGACCCCCTTCCAAGCCTATTAGACTCCATTGTAGTCTCTAATGGGGCTTGGAGGATTCTTTCTAACACACTCTCTAAAGGACAATGAGATAGCCTCCACTAGAAAGACCCCCCTCCATGGCCCATTAGCCCTCAATTGTAGTCTCTACTGGGGCCTCGAAGGACTTATTGCCCTTTTGTTCCTTGTGTCTAAAGATTGCGTAGGGTGTGGCTGGAGGCGGTGCATGGAGGCGGGACAAGGGTGGCGCTTGCTGCAGAGTATGGGTGGGGCTTGTAAGGGGGCCCTTGATTTATTTTGCCCGGGGGCCCTGAGGGTTCTCAGTCCTCCCCTGAATGCAACCATATTGTTTGCTCCACACAATTAAAACATGGAAAGTTAAATACTTTTACAAATGTTCTCTCTTCTGGGGTAAATGATCCTGGCAGGCAACTGTTTATAACTAAATCCTAATTGGGGGCAAGATGGGAAGTGTGAACATTTACATAATTTATGGACCTTCCCTCCTCATTGTATTTCGTGTGGGTTTTTTTAATCATTTTCTTCAACATTTACTTTAGTTGGTCCTGTTTGGTGCAAGATAAGTTTTTTATATGAATACTGACAAATTAAGGGTAAAGAGATCAGCCTACGGAGATGCATTCACCCAAAACTGAAAGGATGTACCAGCTAGATGCACCAAGTTTTGTTGTATTCCCCCCTTTGATGTATACTCTATCCCATGAGATATTGGCATTTCCAAGCTGAAAATGCATCGCCTTTTGTGAATGCAGTTATGACTCCATTACTGTCAAGAGATGATTACTATTTTCAGTCAAATAAATTTTGAGTACCATTTGCTGCTCTTATTGACTAAATCCCCTTGTATTGGAAATAGTGCCCCTTGCACCTAGTGTCATCTTTATTCTGTTCAAACATGGAATAGATAATCATGTCACCTCAACTGTTGAGAGGGTAATTCTTGCTTCAACAATACCTTACTGTAACCATACTTAACTGTTAGATAAATAGAAAATATAATGTGGAACATGGTACTATGAGAGTATCTGTTGTGGGTTGTGCATTATATAGGGGTACATTTCTGCCCCATAATAACAATAATTAATGGCTACTTGTGCTTAAATATACAGCTAGCAATTATTTTATTCATACTGGGTTTTGTGTAATTTTTTTTTTCTTTTCCTAAATAATAATAATAAAGTGTATACACTTCTCTACGCTGTAAAACTAAGTGAAAAGAAAATGACATAAAATGTATTTTTAAAAATGACAAAATTACTAGTTTCTCATTTTTAATGAGAGTTTGGTGTGACTCAAGGGCATTTTACATCATAAAATGTAAAAGTTATGAAATGCGGTTAGAGTTACAACCATTTTTCATGTCACATTTTCACAAGCGATAGGTTTGTACATCGATCACAAACTTGGTGGTCTTGTTAAAAACAAAACAACAAAACTTGTCACACAATAAAGAAATCAAAGAATCCCAGTGTAATGGCAATCCGGAAAGAACAAACTAGCAATGACAGTTTTTACTTCTTTATTTATTGCTCACAGCAGGAGTCAGATACCATAGTTTCTTTGCAACCATCAACACCCTGGAGATTCTTAGTTCCACATATAAGACAAAGAGGATAGGGGATGAAATCTAACCTTCAGGGAGCAGGTACCTGAATCCTATCTCAAGTAGAAGCAGATTCCAGCTGAGCTGAAATGTTTTGTTTTTTTGAAGAAGAATTTCTGATGTTCACTGGTTGCTGATTGCATCCAGATTTTACTTCTACCCCAGTGAAGATTTGCTTAGCGCTACAGAGAGTTTATCTGTTGCTGTTAAATTGCTGTTGCACTGAGAAATAGTTTGTTTTAAGCCAAGTAAAATGAAATCAAGATGTAGAAAACTGATTTATTCCTGTGACTGTGTGTGTGTGTGTGTGTGTGTCTGTCTGTCTTCCTATCTATCTGTCTCTTCTGTCTTTCTGTCTGTCTGTCTGTCTGTCTGTCTGTCTATCTACCATGTTAGTCTGTCCAGCCATCTGGGCATCGATCAATCTATCCTTAAACTATGTTGATTGTTATACTCTATGTAGCACATTTGACTATTAATCTTAACATATTTTTTTTTCTCTGTAAATTTCCAATCAGCTAGTGGGGAAATATTTTTTGTGTATATAAAATCAAATCAAGAAAAAAACATAATGTAGCGAGAAATGCATTAAAATATTTTAGGTACATATGCTATTTTTATCGTGTTTCTAAATATTCAGACTATTTATTTAAGAGAATGATTTTTCCAAATTCGTAAGTACCACATTACGAAAACTTGTTCTAGAGACTGCGAATAATGTCCTAATGAATATGGCATGATACACTCATGTAAATGTTATGAATAGGCCCCAAGGTAAGATGAATTTGATTATTTTCCAGCATGCTATTTGCAATGCCACTCAATTTTTAACAGTGTAACCTTTTAAGAGCTTCAGTGCAAATTAGAGCTATTACAAATATGGTCCATTAAATGGTATTACTAAAGAAGAAAAAACTTTTCTGCAGAATCAATCCAATTACATCAAATCTACTATACAAGCCTCAAAGGATTTTTTTTCAGTTATGCAATATCACTACATGATTTAATAAAAATAGCTCAACACATCACGATCCCTAAAATGATTAATTGTATTATGATAACATTATCGTCTTTGTGTTCATTGAAGGTAGATTTTTAGGTCCCAAAACCCTCTCAATTATTTTCTTCATATTTACTTGAAAGCACTCTAGCAATTTAATACAAGCTGAAAAAAATATCTGCTTTCTCAGCAAAAAAAGCACTGCAGGGAAATGTTTCAGATTAAATTGGAATTGTATTTCCTGCCATTCAGTAAAGAAATTTAATGAAAGGTTTTTAATAAAATAATATTCACGAATACTAGATTTGTCAGCATCTTTGGGAACCTAAAAATAAACGATGATCATGCATATGTATCTGTCATCACTACATAAATACCTAAGTGTCCGTTTCAAAAAATTGTAGACGGATGCATTTAAAGTTTACAGATGAACATTATTTAATTTAAATGTCGGTATAGGAAATAAGTACAGTCTTTGCCCTTTCAGTCCTAGTGGCAAGTCTGGCCACATTGGTTTAACAAAAGAGAGTCCACCAAAAAGGTGCCAGGTGTATCTAAAGCATTCGTGATGGAGATGGATGGATTTATACATATGTATAAAGTCATAAATGGTGTTGGAGGCACTTATAACCAAGGGATTATTAAGAAATTTGTGATCTAATATTATTTAGACAAGAGCACAAAACTGGGAATAAGGGAAGAAGACTTCCTAAATGTCAATGCTATATATCACCACTCCATCACATAGAGCCTCACCCTTTTCGCATTTCAGAACTTTAAAGGTTACTAATGGGTGCGGTGGTTCCACATTTTCTTACAACCATGGGGCAGAAGCCAAGAGAAGATCAATTGTAGGTTCCGTGCCGTTATATTAAATAATCCAGGCACTCAAGGTTCAGATTGTAAGCAGGTTTATTGGGAGAATGTACAGCAATGTTTTGACCTCTTCAGAGGTCTTTTTTCAAGCTTGAAAATGATCTGTAAAGATGTTGAACCTGGAGTACATGTACCATTTCCATTCTTCCAGTTATATGTTTGAGGTTAGGCCTGTCTCGGATCCTGCTTGGTTTTGGAGGGTGTGCGGTGTTCCGATCTTCTGTTGCAGTTACATTAACCCCTTAAGGACACAACTTCAGAAATAAAAGCGAATCATGACGGAATATTTCCGTCATGTGTCCTTAAGGGGTTAAAGTCATAGGATCCCCTACTTGTTTTGTTATTTTTTTATTCCTTCATGCTTCATGCTTTGGTGTGGAATTAAGAGTTCTGGAGAATCCTAAAAAAAAAAAATTATATATATATTTCCTCATTGGGTGGAGGTTAGGAACGTCCAGTCATATTGCATATTGTTTGGTTTTATAAATTGTTAGGGAGCAGTATTAAATATTGTATTCAAGGATGTATGTATAGAACAGGATACCAGCTCTCAAGGGCATTGGCACAAGTGGTGCAAATATCTAATAACTATCCATTTTAATTTAGATACTATAAATTAATTGTTTTGTAATTTTAAAGGAAATTGACATTTAGTAAACAAGAAACATTTTAACGTGATGGTGTGTCTATAAATGTTCTACAAAAGGTAAAAAGATTTTAAAAAATGCAAGAGAAAAACTTATATCATCTTATCGGCTAATGAAATAGCACATATGTATTTTTCATGCATTGCACGTAAAATCAGTAACTCTTTGTGAATAGGTCGCTAACATAGAGAAAACATACTAGAGGTTTAGAATTTAAAATACTTTGATCTTGACAATGACTGACATGTTTTGGAGATAGTATTATATATTTAGAAGACATTTGAAGGTTTCATGCTTGCGAATCATGACTGTCTTTTCTATAATCTCTGAACTGCTGAACTCAGATTTAAATGTTTAAAGAAGTGTCACAAATGCCACCCTTATACAAAGCTGTTTGAGTATCAACCTACCAATATCAGACAAAAAAAATGCATGCAGTGAAGTTTTTATCAAATTTCCATCCATTCAATTAATTGTTTAAAAAGTCTGGTACATTGTTGCTTAATATTTATTAGACTGTTATGTTGAAAGTCTAAGCGAACACATCAAACACTCTTGACTGTGGATTTTTTATTACTTCTGTTTAGCAGACTTTGCACATTGCAATGTACTTCATTATAAGTGAATATTCAGAGAATCTAGAATTTTATTTTAAATAATATATGCATCATGCAAAATATAATTTATACTTAATTTTAAATTGCGTATCTTCCAACTGACAATCACCTCACAGCTAAACTTTTCTGCAGGTGTTTTTTTATGTCTGATTTTATTTATTGCTTTTCTTTCTTTTTTATTATTATCTATCTGCATATAAAACCCAATAAAAAATGTGAATTTCATTATATATATATTTATGT